GTAAGGTGATCACCATGACAATATGCTTTCCAGGATGCCTTATTGGAGAGGGAGACAGGGAGGCCCTACATTTGTTTCATAGGTTCTGTTAACTTTATGTCAAGGAATTGGTTTTCCACTTGGATGTTCCAGAACCATTGGCTGCCACAGACTGTTGCTAGACAGATTTAAGAGGCTGGGTATTTTTTATCTAAGCACCATTGTCTGAAGGCTTCGATTGCACAGGCCTAAACAACATGGGAGGGTTTCACTGTCTTCAGAGACTCTGATAACTTCCTGGTTAAGAAAGCAATATGCTTGGCTGGTTTATCACTTTGTCTGCATCTGGGTGTTATTCAGCTCTGCTTGCTAGGGAAGTCTTGGGTTAGTGTTTCCCCAGGGAAGCCAGTGGCCCCTTTAGAAACAGGGAGTCCTGTGGTCTGATGGAGGGAAATTGACCACAGAACCAGGGTCCATTAGTGATCTTGATTATGCCTCTTTCTCCAACAAGATCTCCCAAATTCAGTGTTGTCTGAGCCACTGGCCCCCAACTCTGTCTTGATGCCCAATACAACAAATTCTCAATACAATTGGATTAAAAACTTTTTGAACTTATTTTAATGAAATTTGACTTGGACATGTAATTTGTCTTTGCCTTAAAGTGACTTAAATTCTCCACACCTAGCACATTACACTACTTGAATATCAATTTCAGGTGCAGAATCCCCTCCCCTCAAAGTCTGCTCTTTGTGACTCTCACACCTTTCCTGTTTTTAGTAGGTATTGGTTGAAACATTTCAGTTTTTATGTTAGCCACCGAAGTCTTCATGTGCACAAAAGCCAATTTTGGTGGATATTTTATAGTTTAAGAAAAGTGTTTAAAGTTTTTACTTGGAGCTTTCTTCCTTTTACTTTCTGAGTGGCTATTTGGGATACCAGAAAGAGTTCTAAGTTTGGAGTTGCCTGGGGGCAAATCCAGGCTGTGCACTTCCTGCCTTCTGACCTTGGTGCGTGAGGTTCCAAAGGAACCTTATTTGTAGCTTGCTCTGCTGTCCTCATCATGTGGTCATGATGAGTGCATGGGACAGTGCGTGCGAATGTGCTCCACAAATGTCCTCTAACAAACTCCAAAGCTTCAGCCAGCCTGCTCTGGGTGCACGGCCGGCCGTTGCATATGGAACTGGACAGAACATGAAGCACAGTCTTTTTCTTGACTACTTTTAAGTGTCACTGTGTTTATGGCTCTATGATTTAGCACCATGTAAGAGGAAATAATCATTGCACTGCCCCCGAGAGTCTGGTGAAAGGACAAAATGCAGACAAGTGTTGAGTGGAGTCTATTTCCTAAATGATACATGTGGGGCCATGGCTACTATGAGTAACCCAGCTATAAATGGGTCATGGCAAGGCATAAACATCACATGCTCCTCAGCCTGGACTTAGGGTGACATAGACAGGTATTGGGTGTATCATCCCTGCACCAGCCAAGGTGAGCCTTTCCCAAACTAGAAGTGGGGCTTCTGAGTCCTTTTGTTTTGGGTACAAAAGGTGTCTGGGGTACCTGGAGAGTGACTTTTCAGCAGGGTGTCTTGCCTCCCCCTTCATTCTTACAAACGTCCCCTATGGTAGAACAGGACACAGGGGAATAGCTGACAGCTGGTGTCTAGGCAGCACAGCAGTGTGGCCTGGGATACTGCCCAACACACTTGCATTCCAACAACCCGACAAACAAGTAAGCTTTCCAGCCTGAGCAATTTTAGCTCTGGATCCTTTCCCATTGTTCCCGTTTCTAAATTCGAGCCCTGACCCAGGTCTCTGGATTCCTGGATTCTTGTATTTCAGTAACATACAACCAATCTGAGTACACACTGAGTCCCACAAGGCCAAGGAGAGAAACTCTGGTCCTCTGGGGGACTTTGCACTTCTGGAAGGACCCTGTGTGACCTTATCCATCAGCAGTGTCATGTGTCCAAGGTTGTTGGGCCCTCTGGAATTCTACTGGGACCTGGAAAGGACAGGGGAGCTGGGGGGGGTGTGGATACAGGGTGGTCTGCAGAAAGTGAATTGCAACGACTCCTCAGTTCCCTCTGCTGCCTCCTGCCTGGCTCCTTCTACAAGGAAGAATCAGGTTCACTTTATAGATTAAATGAGGTAATGGTGCAGTCAGTGGTGGCATGCTTGGCACATAGTAGACACTCAAAGCCGGCAACATCACCATCAGCTAGCTGTTCCTCCACCCCCACACAGCACAGGCTGATGGCACTGTCCCAGCATCCCCCTGTTCAGCCAGGCTCCCCAGGCTTCCTTGGCTCACAGGCACATTGAGCAAAGGGGAAGAGAACTGTCCCTGAGGCCAGTAGGGCAGCAAGAATTCCATGCTTTTGTTTTTTTCTGAGCAATACAGCCACCTCGGTGGTTTGGGCAAACTGGATAAAGGGTTCTCTGTGTTTTTGAAACTGTCTCAAAGTCAGGGAGATCCACCAGCTGAAGCAATCATGAGGAACATCTCAGGGCTTTTAAATAGTCGCTGAAAAGTCACTGCGAATGACTCATCCTAAATTTCTCAGTATAGCCATAAATTCACTACCTGGGATAGATATGTGCTGGTCAAAGTCTATATCAAAGCTGTTATAGAAATGGTTCCCACTTCTGGGTTGCAGATGGTGCTTCACAGTCTGGTCACTTCTCAGAGAAAAACTACACCTCATAGAACATGCTTAAGTGACAATTTGCAATGAATCATCACCCCTCCCATGCTGCTCAGAGAAGCTGACGGAATGTCTTGGCTTCAAGGGCAGCTTGTCTTGGCCTCTCACTTAGCCTGACACTGGCCATATGTCACCCAAGACAGTGACCATAGCAGTAAAATGGCTTAAGTGTACACATAGCCATGATGAGGCTGTGGCTGGGGCCTAGGGCAGACCCGACAGCACTGTGGGGATGTGGCACATCCAATCAACACTCCTGATTTACTGCACCGATGGCCCTTTGCTCATTCCTGCTGCCTCACATTGGGGAATATGTAACTCCAACTCCAGTTCTTGTCCTATTCTCACTTCTCCAGTGTTCCAACTCATCAGCCCTCAGGCCCCTGCTAGGTGTCAGGTGCTATGATAGGCAATGGAATGTAAAAATGAATAGGACATGTTCACACCCTTCAGAAGGTCACAGCCTAGTGGCAGGACAGCTATGGCAGGAAAGCTGTTAAGGAGAGAGATTATGCCTATTGGTAAATGATTACAATACAGCATGGAGGAGATCTTAGTCAAAAGTTATAAGCAAACAGGGAGAGGCCTGAAGGTTCTTGTCATGTTATAGAAGCAGTAACTGACCAGCAAACTCAGTGCAGGCTGTATGAGAGAAAGTGGTCAGAGACAGGCCCATGTGGTGGGCTGGAATGAGGCTGTGGATTTGCCGTTCAACAAAATGCATTTCACCTGGAAATTCTGCACAGGGAAGGAGGTGGTATCTTGCTTCCTCCTGGTTACTGGCATGGAGTAAAAACTGAGTTTCTAAAAAAAAAAAAAAGCTAGAGAAATATATAAGAGTCTGTGCTAACTGCTGGTGATAATGTTTTTCAGTTCTGCAATCATTACCTTCCTACCTTTCCTTCTAGTTTTAGAACCATCCAAACCTTCCCTGTTAGTGGAGTGGAAGGAGCCCAAGCTGGGGCACGGATCTTGGTTCAAATCCTAGGTTTTCTACTTACCAGCAATGAGACTCTGAGCTACTCACTTTGCTTTTTGAATCTGTATGTATTTCATCTCAACAATGAGTATATATAACACAAACTGCATCACAGCAATGCTGCTAAATGACACAATAGGCTTTGTAGCATCTAAAGAAATACACAGGACAGCAAAGCTTTCTGAAAGACCTCTGCTGTAGAGTACTCAGGGTTCAGTGGCCAAAACTGGGTCCCATGCTGCCCTAGCTATAAGAGAGCCTGGGAAGTATAGTATTTGGTGACTAGTCTTTGTAGTAAAGAGCAAAGGAAAAGGTGACTGTGGGTGGATATGGAGAGAGCCATACCACAGTGTCTGCCACAGCAGGGGTGACACTTGTCTGTGGAGTTTTCTTTCTTCAGCCATTCATAATAAAAAAAAAAATGTGAGAATTCCATTTCTTAGAAAAGTTTAAACCCAATCACATAAGGAATCACACACAATGAATAGACACCAAGAAAAAAAGGGAAAACAAATGTGTAAATAATGTTCAATGATCCCTGACTATAAGAGCTTTGTAAAGAAATGGCATACCAATTAGCTATTGCTGCGTAACCAGCCACCCTCAAATCCAATGGCTTAGAACAAAATCATTTCTTATTCTGGCTCATACATTTGGGGCTCAGCTGGTCTAGACTGAGATCACTTGTGCATCTCTGGCAGCTGGGGGCTCTGGGCTAGATGGGGCTTGGTTGGGACACGTTAGCCATGGTGGCTCTGCTCCACATGTTTCTTGTCCTTCTCCTGGGATCAGCAGGCAAGCTTGGGCATACCCTGCTCATGGCAATGGCAGAGGCACAGAAGAGTAAACAAAAACATGTGATACCTCTTGAGGCTTAGGCTCAGAACTGGCATACCATCCCCCTGGCCTCATTCTGTTGGCTGAACAAGTCACGAGGCCAAACTCAAGAGGTGAGGAATTATACCCCACCTACAATAGTAGGACACTAAAAAGTGCCATGGCCATAGGGATGAATACAGGGAGGGGTGGAGAACTGGAGCCATGATTGCAAATTGACCACAAGTCACTGAAGGTCTTGCAAGTCATAAAAATAAGGTGAGTATCACACTCCGATTCTTTAGAAGGAAGCCATCCTAATTTAGTTTGGAATTAATTAAATCAATAGAGCCAAAGTTCATGGTCACACTCTCTACTCATAATTCACTTTACATTCATGGACTTGAGAGATGAACTGTCCAAGTTTGATTTTGACTTGTACCTATCGTACTGATTTTAAAGCTGCCCCTAAAAATATCTCATGAAAACTAACGCTTCCTTTGGTTTCTCTTTTGCAGGCTTGATGTGAAGAATTGAAGAGGAAGAGAATGGATTAAAATGAAAATAGCTCACTAAAAATTTTATATATATTTGTATGAAGATTATGAACCTCCTGAATGCCCAAGACTCTAGCAGAAATGTCCTGTTTGTACATTTATATCTCTTCCTTCTAGTTGGCTGCCCTTCTTACTTTAATTTACCTTCATGTTTGGCACCTTGAAGAACAGATAGCTCAAGAATTCACCCCTTGGAAGGTGTAGTTTTGAGAAGGGATATGATTTTATGAAGAAGGATATGGCAATATGCATAACAGCAATTTTGATTGGAAGCTCTCTAAGCTACTTCCCACACTATTTTGGTCATTATTTGGAATGTATTTTAGCTCTTTACCTTCTGAATTATGTCAATAAACTTTTTATGAGTTCAAATAAATATGCAAGTAAATATAAAATATGAATCAAGACTAAGTTAATTTTTATATCTTTAGAGAGCTACATATTTCCCCACATGGAGAGAAATGAGATATCAGAGCCAAGCAAACCTCACATTGCCCAAGTAGGGGCTGCTCATTCTGAATTATTGGGTACCATGGGTACAACTATAGCTGATTTATCGCTGCAAATGAAGTTAAGTATTGCCTGAGGAACTGGGCATCATTGATATTCCTCCTCCAAGCATGAACTTTATGGTGACTGCATTTTAATTCTATAGAGGCTCAGAAATTCCCTCTTCCCAGATGGGATATAGAGTTCACCACAAGGCACAATAAAATAAAGCTGAGGGATTAGAACTAAAGAGACAGACAGATCATACCTTAGTTGTCCTAAGAAAGATGAACCATGTCTTCTGCTGCTAACATGGAGAGTCTCTATGAAACTTAATCAATGGCCAACATGGTCACAAACCAAAAGGAATCACCCATGCCCCTCTAGAGTCTTCTGATCTTCCCAGATGGCCAGGCAACTTCACACGATGAAGATTTGAGAGACCAGTTTCTCAGGACCACAGTGTTTTAAACACTAGTGTGTCCCCTGCCTGGTATACAGAGCCCCTAACACCATGACTTTCTTCCTTTTCTCAGTGCCTGCCATTAAAATAAATCAGATGTACTTCTAAACATCCCAAGCAAAAATGAGTCTTTAGCTTTTTTTTGTGTCATAGAGTTCAGCTTCCCAAAGCAGGACTATCACTGTACGCATGTGACTGACTGCAAATTCAGTGATGCCTGAAAGGTTCAGGTTTTTGTGAGCGGGCGCCAATTTAGTCATGGGTTCCAGACATCCCACTGGGATGTGGCTTAGCCTGGTGATCTAAATCTAATATAGGTATACAGGGCAGGGAATATCAATCAGAACGAAATATGGCAGCCTGATCATCTGTCGGCAGAGCAGGTTCTAAATACTAGGGTATTGGTTGCCTTGGGCCATTCTGTGCCTCCCTTACGAAGGCAGTTGGGTAGGCTTACAAAATTTACCTCAGTGTTCCCTTTGTTTATATATATATAAGTCCATGTTCAGTCTCAAAATTAAATTCTGGCTTAATGTTATAAAAACTATCCTTATATTTTAATGCAGTCCCCCAAGTAAGATTTGCAGCGTAGTATAGACCAAAATAATTAGACAAGTTAAATGGATTTTTGAGAGTTTTATATTTAATATGGTTTTTTTTGTCATTAAGGCTTAAATTCACTGTGTCTGGGATTTAACAAGTTCTGTAGCCCATCATTTGTTGGACAATGCACATAATATATGAAAAGGCAGAGTTTATTTTTAATGAAGTCATAATTCTAAAAATTCATATTTCATGCAAAATGGCTCTTTAAAAACCCATACATCATGTTGAAACAGCCTGATTTTTCTTATAGGCTTGTAAACAACCAATTATTATGTAACTTTTCTTTGAAGAAAAACAAGGTACAAATTGTTGAAATTTCATTAGGAGAGAGAGACAGAGTAAACTATAAACAACATTGGTTTGATTATTTACAGTTAGACATAAGGCACAACAGCCAGTTTAGAGCGCATGTGCTGTAACCAGCACCAACTATAAGATGCTCCACTGACAGGTGAGGATCTGAGTACAATATGACAGTCATTCCACCCACACTGCTTGCCCACCTTCTCTGCGGCAGGCTCTGTGCTGAGGGCTGGGAGGAATACAGCACATTCAGCCAATCACCTTCCTTCAAACACCCCCACCTTCCTTCTCCACCTCTCCCACAATCTCCTCCCCAGCATGGGATTTTCCTATGTTGTGCTTGAGGTACCAATGAAAGAAGAAGGCCCCAGAGGGTTCAGAACTGCATGGGGGCACGTGAAAAGCTTCTCCCTGTGGAGCGGAGGCCATCTAGAACAAGCAAGTCTCTCCAGAATTTCTCAACCACTCATATTTTATGATCCTTACATTTCAAGAGCACCAATTGGAAGGTTTGGCTTTCCTCTTCCTGAGTAGATGAATGACACAGTAGAATTTTAAAAGTTAGGCCCAGGGCGTAGGGGATGATAATTACCCAAATGCATCCCCCATTTTTCACTAGAGAACTCAGATAACTTACAAAAGTCCTCCCATTACGATTAGATCCATATAAGGACCACCATTAATTGAAATGTACCATCCTGTGAACCCCCTTCTCCTACATCTTTGGGCTGATATAGAATTAGGGCACTCTCTTTGAGCTAAAACATAGAAAGGTTTATGTGGAAGAGAACAGGGCTCATTGGATTTTAAGGTTGATCATTAAAACTAGTTCCCTTTGCATATAGCAAGGACTCATGGACAAAACCAAAGGGGAAGAGTTGAGGGAAGGACGGAGGGAGGGAGGGAGCAAGGGAAAGTGGTGGGGGGGAGGCACAGACAAATGTATTTGAAAAAATAAATTAATTAATTAAAGAAAAACTAGTTCCCTTTGAAGGCCTGTGGCATTATCTCATTGCTTGCAACCTAGCTTGAAATAGAAGCTGCCTTTATTTTTTTTTTTTCTTTAAATTTTTATTGAATTTATTGGGGTGGCATTGGTTTGTAAAACTATACAAGTTTCAATGTACAACTCAATAAAACATCATTTACACACTGCAATATTGATGAGTGGATAAAAATGCTGTGGTACATCTATACTCTTTTTTTTTTTAAATTAATTTATTTACTTTTTAAATACATTTGTCTCTGCCTTCCCCCCCTCTTTCCCTTGCCCCCTCCCACCTTCCCTCCCTCAGCTCTTCCCCTTTGGTTTTGTGCATGAGTCCTTGCTATATGTTCCTTGACTTTCCCCTTCCCTTCCCTTTCCCTGCCCCCCCTTCCCTCTTGTCTCTGTTGATTTCTTTTCCTTTCAGTGTTGCTGGTCATATTTGCCTTGCTTCTTTGCATTGTTGGTTAGGTTCCGCTTATAGGTGAGATCATATGGTATTTGTCTTTCGCCCCCTGGCTTATTTCGCTTAGCATGATGCTCTCCAGTTCCATCCATAGAAGCTGCCTTTAATTTGGTAATGAATGCCCCCTTGGAATTTTTAACTTGATGCTCAGTATTTGCATCAGTGTGGCCCACAGATAGTTCTTTGCCTCACAGACCTTTAATGAAAAGTGCTTCTCCAAAGGCAAGGATTTACTGTCATAACATTCAGACACAATCGTGTGTTCAATCAACAAGCCATGCTCAGAGCAATGACTAAGGATAATGTGACCTGCCAGCCTATCACTAGGCAAGGAAAACCCTTAGAGTCCATACAGAGACTTTCTCTTTTCCCTAAGCAAATGGCTAAACCTGCTTAGATCCCACACTGAAGGCAAATCACACTGTGAAAAACATATGTGGGTTATAAAAGAGGGGATTTTGCTATAAAATAAGATTACAGTCGTAACAACACCATCACCGAAAGGTATTGTTCAGAGGAAGAAAAACAACCTCAGTTAAGCAATCAATTTCGTATTCTTGGCCTCATATCTTTCAATCCTATGCTTGTTTATTACAGGAGAAAAATAACTCCCACAACATTTGACTTCTCTGCAAAATAATTCAGCGCCACCCCTAACTAGGAGATACCATGGAATCAGATAACAAGGTTTTTGTTTTTTGTTTTTTTAATTGCCAGCCCTTCCTTGGTTCAGTGAGGATATATTCAAGATGCAGATTCCAGAAGGAAAGGGGGATTTTTCCCCTTGGGCTTCAGGTGCTTGCAGAGGAGCTGCACAGCAAAAGCAGGTCTGCCCCCTAAACTCTAATTTTCAAATTTGATCGCAAGGTGGGTAGAGTGGTGGGGAGAAGGTACAGGCAGGATTTCATGACATGTAGTCCATGAAAACCCTGGTCTCTGGCAAAGGTGGGGGCAGAGTGGGCCAGAGACACCCCAGGAGAGACCGCGGAAGGAGGCCCAGGGGAGAGAACTGAGAGAGCAGCCAGAGGGATCCCAGAGCCGACCCACCCCCCACATGGCAGAGCCATCTTGCTCAGGCAGAACCTATTCCTGCCCCTTAACATTGCTCACGCATCTGTGGCGCAGAAGACAAGACAGGGTTCTGGAGGAATTTCTGTTCAGAAGCATTTTGGAACAGACAAACGTTCTGTCCAATCGCCCACACAAGCCACATTGCTTTACAGCTAATGGCAGGATCGGGGCGGGGGGAATGGGGGGGGAGGCGGGGGGAAGGTTTTATGCTGTACTTATAGTCTCGTTTTGCTTTATTTTACACTTTGCTTTCTGGCTCCAGCCACACACAGAAAGATTCTTGGGCTTAGGCGCTCCTCACTCTCCTCACCTAGCCAGAGCTGAGTTTTTCTGCATTCGGTGGGAAGTGATGGACATTTGAAGAAGCCAGGGGATACATCTCAATGTCTAGGGCGCTGGATGCCCAGCAGGGCACAGACATTCCTATACAGTACTGGAAATCAGGCCTTGGTTAGTGTCCTAAAATAATATGGGTGAATCCAACCTTATTATAATTTCTTTAAAATGGTGCATTGCATTCATTTAATTTTGCAGGCAAGGAAATGGGCATAGCTCTTTCCAGTGACTAAATAGTACCTGTGCATAGACCAACATGCCTTGAACCTTAAAAACAAACCAAAACACCAAAAGAAAACCCCACCTCAAAGTTTTTTTTTTTCCAAATCTCGACAATGATGGCTGAGAAAGGAAAGGCTGGAACTCCATCTGTAGTCCAGGCAAGTCATACATACATAGGATGGGGTATTTGGAAGGTGGAGATAGCCAGGAGAGATGTCCCTTAATGAGGGACCCACTGGGCTCCAAACTCTGTAGTTAGATCCTAGTCAACTGCTGGGACCCCCAACCCATAGACTCAACATTTTGGCCCTTTCTCACTTATTGCTTGCTTATTTCCCTAGACTTTTCTCAGCATGTTTTCTTTACCAGCTTGGGAAAGGGACTCCCCTCCTCCTGTTGCTCTGGAACCTTGCTGCCTGGATAACCGGACTCTGGCTGTAGATATACCAAATTG